CATGCAAGGCAAGGACTCTACCACTGAGCCACCTTCCCAGCCCCCGCAGTTTATCTTCTTAAAGCTCATAATTTATCCTGAACACCTACAAGGCTGGAATAAACTGTAATCCTATAGAGTCCATGCTATAAATATCTTAATAAAAAAGGTAATTTATTCTTCTAATTATGCCCCCAAATACTCTGGGTTTCTAAGTGTTGACACATATCTGGTACATACTGGGTAGTAAGCACAAAGAGAACAGAATTTCCATCCAATGCACAAATTTTCTAGGCCTCAGGATTCTTTCTTAAATAAGTCAACAAAAAACAAGATATATAAGTTCCCATGCAGGAAGGAAAACAATCTACTTCCGTATACTCTAACTTTTGTAGTTAAAAGATCCAGAAGATATAATCTACCTACTCCCATCTGTCCATCTTAACCAGTACAAACAGTAATTTGTTGCCTAACATTGTTTATATCAAATAGAAACAGATAAAAAATACCTTGTTGATTTCCTTATGGGCCCTGAAATGAGTTTCACGTAAGACTTGGGGAACCAACCCTTCTGACCTTGAACTTCTCCAAACCACCACATGTCTTGCTGTTCCAGGACGGTGATGACATCATTTTTGTTAAAATTTAAATGGTTGTCTTTTTTGGCTCTCCAAGGATATAGGGCTTGTGCTTGTAGCCCCTCTACCTTTTCACCCTTGTGTGGAATAACATAAGGACCTCTCATTACATTTCAGTTCATCAATTCAGGCAGACATAAACATAAGAAGCACACAAGGGATGCAGCCAGTGCAGCATCCTGATGCCTCACCCACTCTTGGTAATAGTTATTTTCCACAAGTGGAAGGAAAAACCCTACCGGCCCATTCAAGGAGCCATCATCCTTGCCGGCTAGACTTCTCTACCACAGGCCAGGAGTCATACTTCTTCAGTTGACCTTGGCTGAGTGCCTTTTATATTCCGATTTTATTTTCACTCTCAAGTTGCCCAGCATATCTAACCTGATTTGGATTTCCAGTGGAGGATTAACACTAGAGAAGATTCTTTTAGGAGACTTCATAACTGATGCTTTGGTTTAGGTGCACTCAGGAAAATACACTGTGCACTGTATTGTGCTTGCTTTAGTTCCTTTCCAGAAAAAAACAGCGTTTCATAAATCCATTGCTTTGGTAGCATACATACATTGCAATTACCACTTATCATGTGGCCATGTTACAAAGGGTGTTACAAAGAATGAAACACCATCTCTGTCTCCCCCAGATAACTTGTAGTAACACACTTTATTGACTGGAAAACATTATAAAAATGGACAGTATAATGGGATTAGCAAGGAACTCACAGTTACTAGGGAAGAAAGAAATAAGGACAACTCACAGTTACTAGGGAAGAAAGAAATAAGGACAACTGAATAAGCGACCTGGCAGAATGAAACAGGCTATTCCCTGTGGGAATGGAGAGAAAAGAGAAGTGAGTTCTGTGTGAGAGGATCAGGGACAATTCCACAGAAGAGGAGCCTTTTGATATGGGTCTTGAAGGATGAGAAGGGTGTTTGGATCTAGCGTTTAGAAGGAAGGGCACTCCAGGCTGAAGGTACAGCGCAGGCAAAGGCCTTGAGGTAGCACACGGTATGGACTGCAAAGGATCTGGGAAGAGAAGCACAATCCAAGGCTGCATGTAGCCTCGGCGCATGGAGGGGTGTAGGAGGAGATGAGGCTGGAAAGGCAGGGTGAGGCCCTTATTATCGTTTAAAAAACTGTATCATGAAATATGAGCAAATAAATCAATCTTCAATTATCCACATAAATGAACAGGAATAATGGATAATGTGCAAAGAGAGTTGGTCTAGAACCAGTTTGCAGTTGTCCTTGCAAATTATTTTTATTTTTGCGTTAAGATATGGTTGTGATAAATGGGGAATTTATAACAGGTCAAGTAAGTTCTGTGTCTATGTAGATGTCCTCTAAATTGTACTACTCTTTATGGGGTGCCCCCTATTTCCTGCCCTTTTAGGCCATAGAACTGAGGTGGTTTCTCTACACTCCAAGTCTTCCAGGAGCACACAGCTGTAAGCTTCCATTTGCCTCTTCTCACAGTGATTGCCCTTCTGCCCTGTCTAATCCTCTCTCCACTGCTTCGTGGATTTCTCTACCAGGATGGACCTTAGGACCAGTCCTTCCTCCTGTGTCAGAACATTTGAGGATGGCTCCCACTAACCTTTGCTGTGTCAGTCTTCTAATCCAATCCCCTTCTCCAGGATGGGCCCTGATGAGCCCCACCCAAGATTACCTAGAACAATTCTGATAGCTTGGCAGCTGTTAATTCTAACCACCCTAAGTCTTCACATGCTTCCTGCCTGCTCTTACCTGGCCCAGCACAGGAGATGGGGAGGAGCCAGTTGCTGTGGCTGGGGTAAAGGCTGATCTCTGCCTCAACTGGCCCGCACTGGGTACTGTGAGAGAAGGCTGGGCTGCCCATGCATCCCAGTTATCTGTCTCTGGTTTCTCACTTGTGCTGGTGGGCCACCTGGAAGGAGAAGCACCCTCATAAATAGCAAGCACTCAATGTACAGCATTAAAGTACAATCTCCCCCACCCCTAGCCCCCATAGAATACCCTCTGGGCCCAGTACATTTCTGTGGCATTCCACAGTTAAAGGACAAGGAAGACAGGGAAAAGTGCCAGGCTTAGGTTGGAGTCTGAGCTTCACACACTAGCAATGACTCTCAGGCAAATTATAAACCTGATTTCCTCATTGAACAATATCTTGCCACTCACCTGAGATATATGATAGGGAAACACTCTGAAATGCTATAGCACTAGAGATGTATCTCACAGTAAGGATTATCACCATTTCCAGAAACCACAGCTAAATGAGAAAACAAGAAATGCCCCAGGTGCAAACATGTCAGCCTGGCAGCCAGGACTGCTCCGTGTAGCCTACCCCCCAGCAAGCACTTGGTCATGAGCTCACACGCCATGATGATCTTGTACAAGGGGCTTCTACAGAGCAGCCAGTTTTCTTGATCTTGGGACAATTCTAGTTTTGGGATCTCTTAATTTTAGATAAAACACATTTATTTAAATACAGACTTAAATGCAACTTACTATTATCTTTATAAACATGTAAACAAGTTTGAGAATCAAAAGAATTCCTTCATTAGATTGCAAGTCCTGATTTGGGGTTTGGAAAATGAGATGCTTATAACTGTAGCAGTAACTTTCACACCATGTATTTACTGAGGAAGACAAGTACACTGATCTGATCCACAGCAAAAAAACAAATTCTGGAAAGCCTGGTATTCGTCTTCTGTTTTAACTGAGGCTTCAATTTAGAAAGTCAAAATCAGAAGAATAAAAGAGAATTTGAACTTGGAAGTTATGTCAATGGAAGGCTTTTTTTTTCTTTACTAAAACCAGAGATTATACAAGGAGGATCTTCTTTGGCACCTTCAATATTATATGAAAATATAAGGCTGGCGTGGAGGTGCACACTTGTAATCCTAGATACTCAAAAGGTAGAAATCAGGAGGATAATGGTTGGAGGACAGCCTGGGAGAATTGTGGTTCAAGGTTAGCTTGGGCAAAAAGTTAATGAGACTCCACTTGAACAGTCTATCTGCAAAGGAAACATAGGGATGAGGGTCTGGTCTAAGGCTAGCCCCAGGCAAAAAACTAAAAAACATGAGACTTCTATCTGGGAAAAAAAAAGCTAGCTGCTGGTGGCTCACACCTGTAATCCCAGCTACTCAGGAGGCTGAGGATTGTGGGTTGAAACCAACCCCAGGCAGTAAAGTCCATGAGACTCTTATTTCCAATAAACCACTCAAAAACCGTAAGTGGGGCTGTGTCTCAAAGTGGTAGATTGCTAGCTTGAGCAAAAGAGCTCAGGGACAGCGCCCAGGCCCTGAGTTCAAACCCCATGAACAACAACAACAACAACAAAAGAAAAGGAAAGAAAAAGAAAAAAGAACTAAAACAAAAACAGGGAGGGGTGGGAGGTGGGGAAGAGGGGCGCATGGCTCTAATAAGCCTATAAACCTGAATGTGAAATCCTGGTTCTGAAGGGAAGGGGAGAGGGTGGGCAGAGACAAAGGAAATATGTATGTATGAGAAGCTTGTGCGCTAGCCAGGCGCTGGTGGCTCACGCCTGTAATCCTAGCTACTCAGGAAGCTGAGATCTGAGGATCGCGGTTCAAAGCCAGCCCGGGCAAGAGAGACCATGAGACTCCTATCTCCAATAAACCACCAGAAAACCGGAAGTGGCAC